TCATAAACAAGTGATTCAGAAAACTAACATTCAAGCTATTTCATTTTCTTAACTATGTGGTACTCATTATTTTAAAATAGTGGTGGGTCTTCTGGGTACAGAAGAGGATTATTTTCAATGACGAAACCTGGTTCTTGCTCTCAAGAGAACCAAAGCTGTACTAGAGGTGCTCACAATGAATTTTAATGAAAGGAAAACAGTAACAGGTTGGGGGATGGGTATTGTAGAGTTTGGATTGGGACCTTTAAATCCCACCACTTGAGCCTTGGGGAAGGAAAGCAGGTGTAGTCAGACTATCTGATAAAGTATCATTTCCATGTTATTCATGTAACAAGTTGAATAAGCTGAAATAGACATGTTGAAGTACCACCCAGAGTAACAGTTGAACTAAGGAAGAGGCCTGTAATGTTAAATAAGGCTCAAAATAAGTTTCTCTTGGAATTGACTTCAGTCTCAATTTCCTTACCCTTTGCTCCCTCTCAGCTCTGTATGCATACTTGCCCTATGAGGGTAAAGGAGGTATCTGTCCCCATTTCCTGTCATGTCCCTGCCCCCTCCACCCCCACGCCCCCCCCCCTTTCCCCCTATCAATCAGTGTTAGCTGGATTCTGTAGGCTTGTTTTGTTCCCTTCTTTCTGGAATTTTGTTTCCTAGATTAACCCCTTTCTCTACTGTGTCTTCAATTCTCCAGACTGAATGTTGTGACAATCTGCAACCTCAGTGTTCTCTCCCTAAAAAAAATAAAAAGATTTTTCCTGTAGGTCCCAGCCCCTCTCACCTTCCTTCATAAATACACTGTGATTGTGCTTCTATAAAAGTAATCTAAGCTAGATTCAGACCTGTAATCCTAGCTACACCAGAGGCTGGAGTTAAGATTCCCAGAGATGGGAAGCTGGTCATGGTTGCATGTGCCTGTAATATAAAGCCTAAAGTACGCAAATCACATTTAAAGCACTGTCCCCTTGCAGAAAGTAAGATCCTATCTCAAAAATAGCCAGAGAAAAACAAGGCTCTAGGTATGACTGGGTAGTTGAGTCTTCTCTGAGGTCAGACTCCCATAGCCTTCAAAGAAAAAAGGGTAATCTGTAGTGTCTTCTTATAGCACAACAATGTGATCACGTTACCAATGTGATCATACTGCTTTTTGTTGTTAATGAAATTTCATTGTTATTAAGGTGCTGTACAGAGGCGTTACAATCTCATAAGTAACAATGTCCCCCCTTTCGCTTTCCCCCAAGTTGCATAGTTTTCTATCGTGTCTACTGTATTTCTGTATTTGTCCATTCTCTTTCCATTTCTACACCTCACCTTTGCCCCCACACAAGACAAAAGAACAGAACAAAAAGCAAAAACAAACAACAGCAGCAAAAATAACTTTCTATTTCCTGGAATTCATTTGGAAAAGTAATATTTTAAATGCTCAGAGGTATTATACGTTTGGGTTCCTTTCCTCCTTTACTTGGACTGTGCTAATGTGTAGACCACTGCACTGCACTGGATTTTCTAGTTACTCATCTTAGCTAAGCCAAACAGTCATTTCCCTGATATTATTCCCTTGATCTCTGAGCATTTGAGATTTCCAGCCATTTGTTTCTACGAATGCTCTTTGTAACCTGTAATAACTCTCATAGTTTCCTTTTTTTTTGGGGGGGGGGTCCGGTCGTGGGGCCTGAACTCTGGGCCTGGGCGCTGTCCCTCAGCTCTTCAGCTCAAGCCTAGCCCTCTACCACTTGAGCCACAGCACCACTTCCAGCTTTTCTCTTTTTGCTTATGTGGTGTTGAGGAATCAAACCCAGGGCCTCATGCATGCAAGGCAAGCGCTCTACCACTGAGCCACCTTCCCAGCCCCTCATAGTTTTCTTTTTTTGGGGGGGGGGGTCCGGTTTTGGGGCCTGAACTCTGGGCCTGGGCGCTGTCCCTCAGCTCTTCAGCTCAAGCCTAGCGCTCTACCACTTGAGCCACAGCACCACTTCCAGCTTTTCTCTTTTTGCTTATGTGGTGTTGAGGAATCAAACCCAGGGCCTCATGCATTGCAAGGCAAGCGCTCTACCACGGAGCCACCTTCACAGCCCCTCATAGTTTTCTTTAAATGTTATTTTCTAGGAATTTCTTTCCTTAGCTCTTGATTTGTAATAGTTACCCAAGATTCCGTGCCATTCTTTAGCCTTTCTCCACAGTACATAAATGTGTGTCATCTTTGAAGCAGAATTTCTTTTCCTATGTCTCCTTCTTAAGCGAGAGCTGTCTTCTGTGTCAGCCCATCTTTATAGCTATGCCAATATATTTAAGCAGCTCATTTCCTAGACTATGAAGACACCAGGCTGGATTTCACAAACCTCTTTCAGGTTTTTAATTTGATTCTCCATAGCATCTTTCACATTACTGAGAGCATTGTTCTGTACTTGCTCATGCATAGAAGTTTTCTACCTTAACATTTGATTATACTTGCTTCATATTTCTACTTCCATAGATGAGTGTGCTTTCTATTAGAGCAGGAATTTAAATACATATGTATATATGTGTGTATGTTTATTATATGTAATGAATAACATAAAATGCATATTTTATTTATATAAATATCTTGGTCTTTTTAAGGGAATAGAAGTCTCTCATGTCTTAACACATAATAGGAACTTAGTACATAGTAGGTACTTAGCTGCTTGTTGAGATTTAGTGTTGATTTCTTGACCTATTAGGGATCTGGACAAACAGCCATGCCCTAGTGAGAATGATGGTTGGTTGGTTGCGGCTCAGTAGGAATAAAGGGGTATTGCTGCTACACCTTATAGCTTTGGAGATGATGAAAGTGGGCAAGTGAAGATTGCACACTTAACAGGATGCTAACTAGTCAGTTGGGATGCTTGTAATTTCACATAACAAAAGGCCTTAATGGGTTATACAGTAAAGATACATTTATGACATCTGGGAAATTTATAAGTAAACCGGTCCAGAGAACTCACTGATATTCAGGGCCAGGGTTCCTTCTGGTTTTTCTGCTCTGCCATCCTTATACATGGGCGAGTTTTCATAAACTTGTGGTCTGAAGGTATTATTCCAAGTATCACCTGCAGGGGCAGAAAATAGAAACATTGTTTTTAAGAGGCTAAGCCCCTTTGAGGACTGAAGAAAACCTGGAAAGAACCAAGCATGGGCTGTGTGAGTTGAGACAGGTGCTAGTGCCTGTATTGAGGCCTGCAACAGCATCACCTGGGGACAGAGCAGTGCATGTGCTTAGGCTTCACATCAAGCTTTCTTGTGAGCCAAGGTGAACCTCCAGATCTTGTGTATTAAAATTCATTGGTAATTCCCAGTGAATTCTCTCAACTTCTGAGGGACTCCAAAGCCAGAAAAAAGGGGAAGGAGGAGAGTGGGCATTAGATAGGCAACCAAAAATGTCTGTACAGTTCTTCAGGGAGTAAGCAGTTAGGGTCAGCTACTCTTGCTCAAGTCTTTTTCCATTTATCCCTGTGCAGGACTCAAGACCTCATGCAGATCCCCTTACTTAATCCAAATCTGTGCCCTACTCTTCAGAAGTGTGACTCCTGGGGTTGGAGGTGTGAGTGTGACTCAGTTGCTAGAGTGCTAGCTAGTGAGTGAAAGTGTTGGGTACAGAGTTGAAGTCCCAGTCTCAGACCTAAAAAAAAAAGAAAAGAAAAACAAATGTGACTATAGTTATTTCTGGTTACTTTGCTACTGTGGCAGTAATCCAGTGTTTTTCTGTGTGTTTTGTTGGTGTGGGGTTTTTTTGGGGGGAGGAGTGGTTGCTCTGAAGTATTTTGCATCGCCCTACATTATAAAAATACAAATGAAGGGCTGGGAAGGTGGCTCAGTGGTAAAGCGCTTGCCTTGCATGCCTGAGGCCCTGGGTTCGATTCCTCAGCACCACATAAGCAAAAAGAAAAAAAGCCGGAAGTGGCGCTGTGGCTCAGGTGGTAGAGCGCTAGGCTTGAGCTGAAGAGCTGAGGGACAGCGCCCAGGCCCAGAGTTCAGGCCCGACGTCCGGACCCAAAAAAAAAAAATACAAATGAAATTGAGTGCTGTTGACTCATGCCTGTAATTCTAGCTACTCAGGAGGCTGAGATCTGAGGATTGTGTTTTAACGCCAGTCTGGCAGGAAAGCCCGTGAGACACTCCAATTAACCACTAGAAAACTGAAAGTAGAGCTGTGGCTCAGGTGGTAGAGCGCAAACCTTGAGTGAAAAAGCTCAAGGACAGCATCCAGACCCTGAGTTCAAGCCCCAGCACTTGCATACAAAAAAAAAACTGTATTAAGGTGGGCGCTGGTGGCTCACACCTGTAATCCTAGCTACTCAGGAGGCTGAGATCTGAGGATCGTGGTTCAAAGCCAGCCCGGGCAGGAGAGACCGTGAGACTCCTATCTCCAATAAACCACCAGAAAACCGGAAGTGGCGCTGTAGTTCAAGTGGTAGAGCGCTCGCCTTGAGCTAAAGAGCTGAGGGACAGAGCCCAGGCCCAGAGTTCAAGCCCTACGACCGACAAAAAAAGAAAATAGAAAAGCATCTTTAAAAAAAACTTAAGTGTTTAAGGAAGATATTACTATTAATCATTTCTGATTGGTCCAATTTTTTTTCCTACCTTTCAGAATTTTTCTTTAGGGCCACTTATATTGATTTTGTATTGAAAGACTTACTGAGTTTGAAAGATATTTAGCTTAAAGATTTTGTAATAGTCAATAAGTTAATAATTGCAGTTTACTCTTTTTTGGGGGGGGGTTCCGGTCGTGGGGCCTGAACTCTGGCCTGGACGCTGTCCCTCAGCTCTGCAGCTCAAGACTAGCACTCTACCACTTGAGCCACAGCACCACTTCCGGCTTTTTTTTCTTTTTGCTTATGTGGTGCTGAGGAATTGAACCTAGGGCCTCATGCATGCAAGGCAAGCACTCTACCACTGAGCTACTTTCCCAGCCCCAATAATTGCAGTTTACTCTTATGTAATTGTAAATCATGTCTATTTACTTGTAATATGTTGCTTTTTTTCAGTAGGTTTTCTCACAGACAAGAAAAATGGAGGAGTCAGTAAACCAAATGCAGCCACTGAATGAGAAGCAAATATCCAACTCTGAAGGTGGATATGTATGGCAGGTCACTGACATGAATCGCCTACATCGGTTCTTATGCTTTGGTTCTGAAGGTGGGACTTACTACATCAAAGAACAGAAACTGGGCCTGGAAAATGCTGAAGCTTTGATTAGACTGATCGAAGATGGCAGAGGATTTGAAGTGATACAGGAAATAAAGTCTTTCAGTCAAGAAGGCAGAACGGCAAAACAAGAGCCTTTGCTCTTTGCACTGGCTATTTGTTCCCAGTGTTCTGACATCAGCACAAAACAAGCAGCATTTAAAGCTGTTCCTGAGGTTTGTCGCATCCCTACCCATCTCTTTACCTTTATCCAATTCAAGAAAGACCTGAAGGAGAGCATGAGATGTGGGATGTGGGGTCGTGCTCTTCGGAAAGCAGTTGCAGACTGGTACAATGAAAAAGGTGGCATGGCACTGGCTCTAGCAGTTACAAAATACAAACAAAGAAATGGCTGGTCTCACAAAGATCTTTTGAGACTGTCACATCTTAAACCTTCCAGTGAAGGTAAGCATAAGACCTCCTGAAGGGGCAATGTAGTGATCTCATATTTTCATGTGAACTGTGTATTGTTTTCTAGAACTGGCCTTTTATTCACAGGACCTATTGACTAATTCAAATATATTTAATGTCAGTCTAGAACTAAACATCTGCCACATGCATCCCAAATCATGACAGATTTACCATGCTAAATGCTAATAACTAGACTGGTCACCCAAGTGACCATAGGTTCTGAGTGCCACACAGACAAAAGCAGTAGCAGAGAAACTGCTTGTCAGTAGATGGCAGATAGCAAGGCTTTTCCCAACTCCCTCGGTTCCTAGAACGTAACTGCCAAGGAGCCTAAGGCCACAAGAAGTAATGCTGAATTTAAATTCAGGAGATTGTCAGCAAGCATGTTAACTTGGAGTTTTCCTATCCCCATAAGTAGTTGCATCTACAATCTACAATAATCACTAATCCTTAGAAGAGAAACAGGACCTGAGAAAGGATAACTTATTAAAGTTTGAGCTTCTAAAAAAGTCAGCAGGCTCAAAATTTGACTTTTTTTTTTTTTTTTTTGGTGCCAGAAGTAAAATTTAAAAAGACAACTACTCAAATATTAGTCCTGCTCATTACTTTGTGTCCTCAAGTGAAATAAATTAGTGTTTCTGAGTTTTTGTAACCTGCTCCCTTAAATGAGGGACAAAGAGTAGTAATCCTTAGAGTTGTTGTGATGAAATGTATGTTAAAATATTTAGGTGGGGGGGAGAGGGGATAAAGGAATGGGAAAGGGAAAAAAAAAAAAGGTAGCATGGTTCTTGGAATGTAGTAGAATTGCCCTCCCCATTGTCTCTTCTATGTGAATTGTATAATGGTGGCTTCATACCCAGAATCTCTTCAGTAATCCATGATGATCAAGTTTTGACAGAAATGATCTTTCCAATGAAGTTTATCAATAAAGTATTGCAGATATTTATTTGTTTTTTTGTTTGGTTTTTTTCTTTTTTTTTTTTTTTCTTTGGTCCTGGGGCTTGAACTCTGGGCTTGGGCGCTGTCCTTGTGCTCTTCAGCTCAAGGCTAGCGCTCTACTGCTTGAGCCACAGCGCCACTTCCTGTTTTCTTGTGGCTTATTGGAGACAAGAGTCTCACAGACTTTCCTGCTGAGATCCTCAGATGTCAGCATCATGAGTAGCTAGGATTACAGGCGTGAGCCACTTGCACTGTTTTTTGTATTTTCTTCTGGGCCTGGGGGCAGTCCCTAAGGTCCTTTTTGCCCAAGGCTAGCTAGCGGTCTACCCACTTAAGCCACAACTCCACTTTTGGGTTTTTTGGTGATAAGTTATAGATAATAGTCTCACAGACTTCCCTGCCCAGGCTGGCTTCAAACCACAATCCTCAGATCTCAGCCTCGTAAGTAGCTGGTATTACTGGCAGTGTGAGGCGCTGCGTCCAGCATTGCATGTATTTGCATATATGCTTTATTTTGATTTTTTTAATTAGGTATTACTTATTTATAAACAGTTGAATACACTGGCTGTGGTGGCACACAGAGAAGTCTGAGGCAGGAAGATAGAGAGTTCCAAGACCCTAGGCAGAAAACTGATATAGAAAGTGTGAGTTCTGCCCTCAAGAAGAAATGACTGAATATGACATTTATATATTATTGCATATATATCATTCTTCCTATTTACTTAGCTGTGCTTTACCAAAAAAAATAAAAGAGCTTTACATACTTTCTGTTAAAAAGAATTGCTATTTTTCTCAGGTCAGTAAAAAATAATTGCTTATATATTATATAAATATTCTACAGTTTAGTCTTAGTATTGTGCTGATTTTAATTAAGTAGTATCACTTTTTATACTATTATAAAAATATAGCCGGGCGCTGGTGGCTCACACCTGTAATCCTAGCTACTCAGGAGGCTGAGATCTGAGGATCGCCGTTCAAAGCCAGCCCGGGCAGGAGAGACTGTGAGACTCCTATCTCCAATAAACCACTAGAAAACCGGAAGTGGTGCTGTAGCTCAAGTGGTAGAGCGCTCGCCTTGAGCTGAAGAGCTGAGGGACAAGCGCCCAGGCCCAGAGTTCAAGCCCCACAACCATCAAAAAATAAATAAATAAATAAAAATATATATTATAATGAAAATTTACATACAAGTATGTATATATAACTGTAAAGTCCACACATAGAAGGGAACAGTGGCCGGTTTCCACACGTTTCAATGGGCTATTGTGTAGGCAGAGAATGGCATCTTATTATTTAGATGTGTATTCTGGGGTCACAGCTCATCTTCTCATATGCTGTGCCTTTGGGCGTATGCATTATATTATGTCATTGCCCTTCTGCCTAGTTAATTACTGTTTTTTGACATTGATTATGTGAACTACTCTGATTCAAGTAATATTTAGTGAGCATTTAATTTTTTGGCACTGATAAGAATTTGGATACATGTTAGAAGAATTTATAACTTCTTAGATGTATTTAGTAGAATATATTCTCTTTGTTCCCCCTCCCCTCAGTTTTTTCTTCTTGATGTGTGGGGATTGATTTTGACACACTTTTTAAATGAAATCAAGCTTGTTTATGTTTTCATAGTGTTTTGTTTTGTGTTAGGCTCTTTTTTTTTTTTTTTTTGGTGGGTAGTTTTGTTGGTCGCAGGAGCTTGAACTCTGGGCCTCACTAGCCTTGAACACAAAAGCTCAAGGACAGCATCCAGGCCCTGAATTCAAGCCCCAGGACAGCACACCAAACAAAAAAAAGAAAAAAAGCCTCTTTAAAGACTTTAGAACACTCAAGTCATATGGCATTTTTATTTAATTTTGAGCTGCATAGGGTTTAGGGTTTGAACTCGGTTTGCTTTTTGGCAGGGTCTGGCTTCCCATAGTACCTGGGATTGCAAGTGATGCCACCTGCCTACCTCTCATAGGAGAATGGGTCTCCAGAACTTTCCCAGTCTTACCTTGAATCACAGTCTTCCCAATCTTAGCCACCTGAGTAGATAGGATTATAGGTGTGAGCCACTAGCACCCAGTTTATCTGTGGGCTTATTTTCTCTTTCTTGGGGGGAGAGGGGGTTCAGTCGTGGGGCCTGAACTCTGGGCCTGGGCATTGTCCCTCAGCTCTTCAGCTCAAGGCTAGCACTCTACCACTTGAGCCACAGTGCCACTTCTGGCTTTTTTTTTTTTCTGTTTATGTGGTGCTGAGGAATGGAACCCAAGGCCTCATGCATGCAAGGCAAGCGCCCTACCACTGAGCCACCTTCCCAGCCCCTTCTCTTTGTTTTTAATTTTTAGTTGGGGGTGGACAATTCAGGGCCTTGGGCTTGCCCATCGGTGTTCAGCCACTTCAGCCATACTTCTAGTTTTTTTTTTTTATTTCCTTTTCCAGAAGGGTCTTGTGTTTTTGCTGGAGGCCAGCCTTGGGCCAAGATCCCCTCCTACTTAAGCATTCTGCATAGCTGAGATCTCAGGGGCACATCATCAGTACCCAGCAAACTTTTTACTTTAATGTCTTTGATCTGGTATATATGCACCTAGCTTTGTACATTGAGATATTGCATGGTGGATGTAGCAGGTACTAGAGTAAAATATACCTATTACTCATTCTAATTACACAAATTAGTTTCTAAGTATGTGAACATAATACTCTGAACTTTCTTTTCTTGGTTGATAAAATGAAGAATTAGATGTCCCTTAAACTTGCCTCCCACACATAAAGTTCTTTGGTTCTAAGCTGTTCCTAGTGGTTCATGCCTATAATCTGGAGGCTGAGATTGAGAGGAATTGATGTTTTATTCCAGCCCAGGCAAGCATGATTGCAAGACCCTAATTCAGCCAACACTGGTCTTGATGGTACAGGTCAGCCATCCAACTCCAGAGGAGGGTGATTCTGTAGGATCAAGGTTCCAGGCCAAAACGTTCACAAGATCCGATGAGCATGATGGTGTGCACCTGCATCCCAGCGAGGGGTGGAAGTATAGATAGGAGGGTTGTAGCCACGTTTCACCTGGATAATAACATGATCCTGTTATCCCAATGAGCATAGAAGCTCCCTAAGCTTCTGACAGTCAGATTTTCAGACTCCTAAATTAGCTACTGAATAAATAATATTTTAACGTTTTTACTAAAATGGGTGTTTGTAACTGACAAAATATGCTTCAATTAATTAGGCATTGATTATGCACTTGAGTGCCAATGTAAGTATAAAACTGGGTAAGACTGCTTTTAAAGTGCCACGTGTTCGTAATTAGTTTTATTGTTTGTTTCTGTGTGGGATTTTGTTTATTTTGGTGCAAATGTTAACAGCTTCAACTCAGGGCCTGGGCACTGTCCCTAAACTTTTTTGCTCAAGGCTACCATAGGAGCTACATCTCCACTTGAAGTTTTTGGTCCTTAATTAAAAATAAGACTTTCCTTGTGTAGGCTTCAAACCATAATCCTGAGATCTCAGCCTCCTGAGTAGCTAGGATTACAGGCATGAGCCACTGGCACCTGGACTAGGACTTACTGTTGATCACATCTTTTAAGTTTAAATATAGAACATAGACTCAGTCTAGCTCATATGGATGTTTTATTTGGCCTATAAAATATTGTAGGAAAAAATGGATTGTCACATCAATACTTTGTGAAAGATCAAAAGACATACAGAAAAATATATTTTTTTTATTGGTTTTGGTAGTACAATTTGAACTCATGTACTTCCTGAGCCTAGGTGCTATATCACTTGAGCCACACTTTCAGACCTACTTTTTTGCTGGTTATTTGGAGATAGTCATGTAAACATTTCTGCCCAGGCTGGCTTTGAACCAGTCTTCTAAGCCTCAGCCTCCTGAATAGCTAGAATAACAAAAATGAGCCACTGGTGCCTAACTTAAAATTTTATATTCTGACTTATCTCTTTATTGCCAAGTACAATTTTTGACAGTGCTAAGCCAATACATGGCAACAGTACAAGTCAATGTACATGTTTCTCAGTCCCCATAGTCCTACTGACACTTCCTTCATAGGTATCTGTTGAGAATTAAATGCCCATACCTTTCATATGTAGAGACTAAGATCTCACAAGAGCAACATTTGTTGACAGTTATAGGCTACAGCCAGGTTTCCTTAATCCCACGCCTCTTTCTGCTATAGAAGAAAATTATCAATTTAAAAAGGACCTATCTGTCAATTTCCATTAATATCCATAAATACCTAATGTGCTTGCTGTATGCAGAAAGCAGCAGCCTACTTTGAGAGAGTTTCACTGTGTGTCTAGTTAAGCGGATCATGATGTATTCTCTAGAACCATGTTCTATTTTTTACTTGGTAATCCTACCTGCCTTTTTAATTCATTATCTTGTTACAGGACTTGCCATTGTGACCAAATATATTACAAAGGGCTGGAAAGAAGTTCATGAATTATATAAAGAAAAAGCACTTCCTGTGGAGTCTGAAAAATTACTGAAGTATCTGGAGGCTGTAGAGAGAGTGAAGCGCACAAAAGATGAACTTGAAGTCATTCACCTAATAGAAGAGCATAGGTTAGTTAGGGAGCATCTGCTGACAAATCACTTAAAGTCTAAAGAGGTGAGTAAATCATTGCCAAGAGAGAATCATGTGTAAGGCCCTGGGTTTGATAATCAGCATCACCAAAGAGAAAGGTCTTAAAACAAATGTTTATTAAAAATACAAACATGACTGGGCATGGTAACACATGCCAATACTCACAGGAACGCTGGTGCAGAATTACAAGCCAAGCCCTGCCTCAAAACAAGCCGAGTACTGGTGGCTCACGCCTGTAACCCTAGCTACTCGGGAGGCTGACATCTGAGGTTTGTGGTTCAATGCCAGTCTGGTGAGGAAAGTTCGTAAAACTTATCTCCAATTAACTACCTGTAAACTAGAAGTGGAACTGTGGATCAAAATGGTAGCTCACTAGCCCTGAGCAAAAGAGCTCAGGGACAGTGCCCAGGCCCTGAGTTCAAGCCCCACAGCCAATCAAAAAAGTAAAAATATAGTCTCACATTACACCCATATGTAATTAACATTTTATACTAGTTCCACTCCAAAAAATATACTATTTTTTGCATTTAAAAAAAAGATGTGGAAACTGGGCGCTGTTGGCTCATGCTTATAATCCTAGCTACTCAGGAGGATGAGATCTGAGGATCACGGTTCAAAGCCAGCCCAGGCAGGAAAGTCTGTGAGACTCTTATCTCCAGTTAACAATCAGAAAACCAGAAGTAGAGCTGTGGCTCAAGTCATAGATTGCTTGCCTTGAGTTGAAGAGATCAGGGACAGAGCCCAGGCCATGAGTTCAAGCCCCAGGAATGGCAACAACAAAAAAAAAAGATACGTGTATTTCTTCGATAAAATACCAGTATGCTCTCCTTAGTTACACTCAGTTTTGACAAGGCATGGTCAAGAAAAATAATAAATTTTTAAAAATCAAAAGAAATTTTAAGTCTAGTAGCTCATGCCTGTAATCCTAGCCACTTAGGCTGAGATCTGAGGATCAATTTCAGCTGGTGGCACACGCCTATAATTCTAGATTCGAGGCGGTTGAGAGCTGCGGATCACAATATAAAGCCAGCCCTGGCAAGAAAGTCTCTGAGACTCTTTATCTCCAATTAACAACCAGGAGTAGAGAGCTAGCATTGTACAAAAAAGAACTCAGAGAATAGCACCCGCGCACTGAGTTCAAGCCTCAGGCCTGGCAACACCACCACCTCCCCCACAAAAGAATTTCAAAAGCAAAGCCTTTTAAGTTCCTGTTGCCAGTGCTGTTTTAATGGTGTTTATCTGCTGAGTGTTGCCCTGTGCTTAATTTTGTTCCCACCCAGCAGGTAGGGTCCCAAAAGTTTAGTAAAAGTGAATGCACTTTAGTTACAGGTCCAGTTACATGTTAAAGTGATAAATTGACACTTGTTAAAAGACAGTTATAGGAAAAATGAATCAAGTATCCACAGTGCAGTGGTGAACTCTCCATCCTGAGCACATGTGGTTCTCACCAGTGTCTCCTTGGAATCATAAACCACAGATAACAATAGTCTCCTGTACTCCATTTATTTATTCTAATAAAAAGAAAGCTACCTGGGCTGGGAAGGTGGCTTAGTGGTAGAGTGCTTGCCTTGCATGCATGAAGCCCTGTGTTCAATTCCTCAGTACCACATAGACACAAAAAGCCAGGCCCTGAGTTCAGGACTGACCAATAATAATAATAATAAGCTAGCTTTTTTGAGTGTGGAAGTCCCTGAAACCAAAACAAAAGCCTTAGAGAATATGCTATAAATATTATCATTGATACGGCTATGTTGTCTTAATTGGTTTCCCTTAATTTTGTGTATCTCTACCTGTATGAGTTCCTTTAATTCCTTCCGTTTCTCCCTATAGGTATGGAAGGCCTTGTTACAAGAAATGCCTCTTACTGCATTACTAAGGAATCTGGGAAAGATGACTGCTAACTCAGTGCTTGAACCAGGGAATTCTGAAGTGTCTTTAGTATGTGAAAAACTATGTAATGAAAAACTGTTAAAAAAGGTATGCTTTCACAGTGGCCATGGTTAGTACTAACTTGAAAAAGTAGGCTCCTACAACCAATGAGTGGATCAAGAAAATGTGGCCCATATTCACAATGGAATTGCACTCATCTATCAGAAAGAATAATATGTTATTTTCAGGGAAATGGTTGGACCTAGGAAAAATCATGGTAAATGAAGTAAGACAGGCTCAGAAAGACAAACAGCTCATGTTTTCTCTCATATGTGGAAGCTAGATAGGAAATACAGTTAGGAGTGATAACATACACACAGCTCTGTACATATACTTAGAAACTTACCAAAGGAGGGTATACTTGAAGAACTCCAAAGGGGTGGGTAACTTCTGAACAAATAAACTTTATCAGAAAGATTACCAGGCTGGCCGGTGGCTCACACCTGTAATCCTAGCTACTCAGGAGGCTGAGATCTGAGGATCGCCTGCAATCCTAGCTACTCAGGAGGCTGAGATCTGAGGATCACAGTTTAAGGCCAGCCCAGGCAGGAAAGTCCGTGAGACTCTTATCTCCAATAAAACCATTAGAAAACCAGACATGGGGGGGCTGGGAAGGTGGCTCAGTGGTAGAGCGCTTGCCTTGCATGCCTGAGGCCCTGGGTTCGATTCCTCAGCACCACATAAGCAAAAAGAAAAAAGCCAGAAGTAGCGCTGTGGCTCAAGTGGTAGAGCACTCACCTTGAACTAAAGAGCTGAGGGATAGCACACAAGCCCAGAGTTAAAGCCCCACGATCGACAAAAAAAAAAAAGAATACCAGGTACTGGGAGGCTAGGTACTCGAGAGGCTGAGAACTCAGGGTCATGGTAAAAACCATCCCAAGCGAAGAAGTCCATAAGCCTCTTCAATTGACCACTCAAAAACAATAACAACAAACAAGTGGAGCTGCAGCTCAAGTGGTAGAGCACTAACCTTGGATAAAGCTCAGGGATAGTGCCCAGGTTCTTGAGTTCAGACCAGGACAAAAAAAAAAAATACTAGGAAATGTTTTTGGGCACAAGGAGATGAGGAATGGAAGGAGGAAGGGTGAGCAAATGCAGTCATTGTATTTAATGTATACTATGTAATCTGAAGGGCTAGGAGAGGAAAACTGAAGGAAGGGGTAACATTGTTCCACAAGTATTGTACTTACATTACTTAGGGAATTATAACTCCTTTATACAACTTCTTAATTTAAAATGAAAGAATAAACTGGCAATTTTTCTGTTTTGGTCGATAGTGAGTCTTAAACTCTGGACCTGAGCGCTGTCCCCCAGCTCTTCAACTCAAAGCGAACACTCTACCACTTGAGCCACAGTGCCAGTTCCGGTTTTCCTGTGGTTTACTGGAGATAAGAGTCTCACAGACTTTCCTGTCCAGGCTGTCTTTGAACCGAGATCCTTTACTCTCAGCCTCCTGAGTAGCTAGGATTACAGGCGTGAGCCACTGTTGCCTGGCTAAGCTGGCAACTTTTTTAAATGGGCTCCAAAGTCTTAGTAACGCAGAATTTTTAGATATTCTAAGACTTCTACCAAATTGCAATTTGACCCTTAACGATACTCTGTTTTGTTTAGGTTACTCTGTTTTGTTTATTAGCTACAGTAACCAAAAAAAAAAAAAATCTAAGGAAGATAATTACTATTTTCACTTGAATTTTGCATTTACTTTGTTTCTTTCTGTTTCTAGGCTCATATACATCCTTTTCATGTTTTGATTGCACTAGAAACTTACAAGGCGGGCCATGGGCTCAGAGGAAAGCTGAAGTGGTGCCCAGATGAGGAGATCCTGAAAGCATTGGATGCTGCTTTTTATAAAACATTTAAGGTAATCCTTTTGTTTCTGTTTAGGGTCTTAGCTTTTATGTAAATGTGTCTTTTTTTTCTTTTTCTCATTTTTTGCCAGTCCCTGGGCTTGAACTCAGGGCCTGGGAGCTGTCCCTCAACTTCTTTCTGCTCAAGGATAACACCACTTCTTTTTCTGAGTAGTTTATTGGAGATGAGTCTTACAAATTTTCTTGCCTGGGCTGGCTTCAAACCACAATCCTCAGATCTTTGTCTTTTGAGTAGCAAATGTTACAGGTGTGAGTCACCGACACCTGGCTGTAAATGTCTTTCATAAAAGTACATTTTTTTTTTTTTTTGGGTCCGGTCGCGGGGCCTGAACTCTGGGCCTGGGCGCTGTCCCTCAGCTCTTCAGCTCAAGGCTAGCGCTCTACCACTTGAGCCACAGCGCCACTTCCGGCTTTTTTCTTTTTGCTTATGTGGTGCTGAGGAATCGAACCCAGGGCCTCGGGCATGCAAGGCAATGCGCTTTACCACTGAGCCAACTTCCCAGCCCCATAAAAGTACATTTTTTAGAGCCAAATGCTATTCAAATGAGACTCATGTAATTAAATGCCTTAATATGAGTAGTGTACTTGCCACACAAACTAAGATGAAATATTTTTACTCATAAACTTAAAATGCCAATGATGGGTATTACTTTCACTCAAATTAGGAAAAGTAGGGGAAAAGTACCAACAAAATGCTTTACCCTATCATAATTTCAGAAATAAATATACAAATACATTTAATAAGATAAGCTTAGGAGTAGACTAGTGGCCTTCATTAACATGGTACAGAGTCTGTTTGGAAGGGCAAGGATGAATAGTAGTCAAAGTACCTTATATTCATATATAAAAATATAGCAGTGAAACCCAGGGAAGTTGATTTTTAAGAAGGGGAGGAGAGCCAGGTACCAGTGGCTCACTCCTAGGTGAAAGGTGGAAGAGGGGCTGTGTCAAGTGATAGAGTGCTAGTCTTGAGCAGAAAAGTTAAGAGTGCTTATTTCCTGAATTTAAGCCCCAAGTCAGGCACCACGTAAAAGAAGCGAGGAAGGGGGCCAGGGAGAAATACAGATGGACGAGGCTGATGGGTACATTGCACCCATGTGTGGAAATGTCACAGTGAAACCCTATTGTTTTTTTTTTTTTAATTTAATTTAATTTTATTTGTGAACATACTGTACAGAGGAGTTACAGTTACATGGGCAGGATAATGCGTACATTTCTTACCAAGCATTGCAGCCTCCTCCTTTGTTTACCCTTCACATCCCTTCCCAGCCTCCCCCCTCCCCCCAGTGAAACCCTATTGTATAATACTAATAAAAATATCTTTAAAAATCAAAATTAAACAAAAAATAACATCCTAACATAATATTACCAATGGTGAAAGACAAGGTTTTTCCCTTAAGATCAGGAATCAGACAGGCCTGGCTCAAGTGGTGAGTACCTGCCTTACAAGTCTTTTTTTTTTTGCCAGTCCTGGGGCTTGAACTCTGGGCCTGGGCACTGTCCCTGAGCTTCTTTTACTCAAGGCTAGCACTCTTACTTGAGCCACAGTGCTACTTCCAGCTTTCTCTGTTTATGTGGTACTGAGGGCTCAAACCCAGTACGGAGGAATCAAACCCAGGGCTCCATGCATGCTAGACAACCACTTCACCACTATGCTGCATTCCTAGCCCTGGATCAACCTTGAAAACAGCTTGTTAAATGACATAAGCCAAATGAACACAAGGATTATATGATTGCATGATAAAAAGTGTGTAAAATAGCCGGGCGCTGGTGGCTCACGCCTGTAATCCTAGCTACTCAGGAGGCTGAGATCTGAGGATCGCGGTTCAAAGCCAGCCTGGGCAGGAGAGACCGTGAGACTCCGATCTCCAATAAACCACCAGAAAACCGGAAGTGGCGCTGTAGCTCAAGTGGTAGAGCACTCGCCTTGAGCTGAAGAGCTGAGGGACAGCGCCCAGGCCCAGAGTTCAAGCCCCACGGCCGACAAAAAAAAAAACAAAAAATGTGTAAAATAGGCTATTTATTGAGCAAGAAAGCAGGATAGGTGTGTAGGCTAAGGAAAGACAGGAATGATACATACTGTGAGTGCATCTGATGCCACTGTTTTTTTGTTGTTGTTGTTTTCTAACTTCAGTGAAAAAGAATAAAACATAGGATAGTAACTTATTTAAATAAACTTACCAAGTAGATTGCCCTTTTTTGTGTTTGTTTCACCTGTAGTAAGAGCTAACATTTCAAAATAATTGATACATAGTATCAATAGTAATTAATTGATAGATCTGAGTCTCTTATTTATTTTATTTTTTGCAGTATTAAGGTTTGAACTCAGGACCTGATTCTTAGTAGGCTGGCATGATGATGCTGAGCCACACCTCCAGCTGTTTTTCACTGGTTATTTTTAGTATAGTGTCTTTCAGCCATCTAGACACACCCTGGGCAGTGATCCATCTACCCTGTCAGTGGAATGAAACACCACTAAGCCAGCTTCCTTCCATGGAGACAGTCTTTTTTTTTTTTTTTTTGGTCGGTCATGGGGCTTGAACTCTGGGCCTGGGCGCTGTCCCTCAGCTCTTCAGCTCAAGGGGAGCACTCTACTACTTGAGCTACAGCACCACTTCCTGTTTTCTGGTAGTTTATTGGAGATAGGAGTCTCACTGTCTCTCCTGCCCGGGTTGGCTTTGAACCGCAATCCTCAGATCTCACCCTCCTGAGTAGCTAGGATTACTGGCGTGAGCCACCAGCGCCCGGCTGGAGACAGTCTTTTAACCAGCTGGGTTGGCCTAGTACATATCTCCTGGTCTTCACCCTCCCATGAGCTTGGGATAGCAGGCATGTGCAGCTGCTACCAAGTATGGGTTGAGATGGGGAAGTCTCTCAAACTTTTCTGCCCAGTCTGGCCTCCACATGTGATCCCTCTGAACTCAGCCTCCCAAATAGCTAGGATTACAGGCACCATCCTCAGTCCCTGGCTTAAGAGTCTCTTTTGAATTAAAGATAAGGGAATATTAAGTCTTGGGTGTTTTGTCTCATTATCTCTGTGACTATTGGTTTTCTTATTTTGTTTTCTCTTGGGTAACAGACAGTTGAGCCAACTGGAAAGCGTTTTTTATTGGCTGTTGATGTCAGCGCATCTATGAACCAGAGAGTCCTGGGCAGCATACTGAATGCCAGTACAGTTGCCGCAGCCATGTGCATGGTAAGAGCATGTGAAGCAGCCACACAGCATTATCCTCTAGAAGTGCCTGCCATTCATGAGTCTAAAGCTAGATGTCTTCAACAATTAGTGTTTTGCTTATTTTTGTCATTTCAAGTTTTACCATTTTATATCTGATGACTAATTTATAAAGCAGAACTTTAATTACATTGAAAACATTTCCAAGAAATAGAGTTAGTTTTAGATTTTATAACACATTAAATATTAATAGTATTTGTGAGGAAGAAAATAATGCTTAAGAAAAGTTGAAGGGTCTAGGGATTGAAAAGAAGCTAGGTATTGGTGGCTCACACCAGTAATCTTAGCTACTCATCCTGTGAGAGAAAAGTCAGTGCCTTTTTTTTTGGGGGGGGGGGGGGAGGGGCGGGTCTGGTCGTGGGGCCTGAACTCTGGGCCTGGGCGCTGTCCCTTAGCTCTTCAGCTCAAGCCTAGCGCTCTACCACTTGAGCCACAGCGCCACTTCTGGCTTTTTTCTGAGGAATCGGACCTAGGGCCTGGAGCAATCAAGGCAAGTGCTCTACCACTGAGCCACCTTCCCAGCCCCAAGTCAGTGACTTATCTCCAATTAACCACCAGAAAACTGGAAGTAGAGCTATGGCTCAAAGTGGTAAGAGTGATGGCATTGTGCAAAAGAGCTCAAAGACAGGCCCTGAATTCAAGCCTCACAACCTACAAAAATAGTTTGTGAAAAGTACTTTGATGGCTATTTTACTATGACTTAGTATTTTAAAACACAGTAATACCACATTGGAAATAAAATAAGCATCAGTGTCTTTCTTTTAAAGGTCAAGTTGTGGGGAATGTGGCTCAGTGGTAGAGTTCTTGCCTAGCATGCATGAAGCCCTGGGTTCCATTTCTCAGTACCACATAAACAGAAAAAGCCAAAGTGGCGCTGTGGCTCAAGTGGTAGAGTGCTAGTCTTGCACAAAAGAAATTCAGAGACAGTGCCCAGGCCTGAAGTTAAAGCCCCAGGACTAGCAAAAAAAAAAAGAAAAGGATCAAGTTCTATAAACATCAAGAGACTGTATTTATTGTTTCCAGATCTGCTGAATATGTCTACCATTTCACTTTTCAGGTGGTCACAAGAACAGAGAAAGATTCTTACATAGTTGCTTTTTCAGATGAAATGGTCCCATGTCCAGTGACTACAGACATGACCTTACAGCAAGTTTTACTGACTATGAATCAAGTAAGAACCTATTAAATGTATTTAACGTAACTTGTATTCTGACTTTAACTTTATATCATACAGACTGGTGTTTCTGCAAAAGAAGCATAAAATCAAACATGTAGAGGCTAAGGAAGGCTTATCTACTGGCTCTAAACAAAGTTCTATTGTAAAAAATAGCACTAAAATAATAGCACTTTGAAACCTTTGATTGTTTCACACATCTCATTAAGGACAGGAAGGAATACTGTTTTATTCTGTCCTGTTTGTGCTCTGAGTTAGATCCCGGCAGGTGGCACTGACTGTGCTCTCCCCATGATCTGGGCTCAGAAGACAAGCACAGCTGCGGACGTCTTCATCGTCTTCACTGACAATGAGACCTTTGCTGGAGGTGTCCACCCTGCTGTGGCTCTGAGGGAGTATCGGAAGGTATGGTAAATAAAATAAGTGAGGGTAGAGGGCACAACTGATATGAAACGTAAGATGATATCCAGAGCTCCAAAGGGGCCCGAGCCTATAAGCAGAGCTGTTTGAGAGGTGGAGATCAGAAGGTCATGGTGTGCAGCTAGTCCAAGCAAAAAAGCTTGTGAGAGAGACCTTATCTCAGCCCATGACTGGATGTAGAATCCTGCACCTGTCTTAAAAAGCTCAGTGGAAACATAGTGACTGGTCACAGTGGTGTATGCTTGTCATCCCAAGGAGCAAAAGTAAGCACAAATAGGAGGATCAAAGTCCCGGCTTCTTGAGGTGTTGAGACCTTACCATAAAAAGAGACAGAGTGACTCAAGTGGTAGAGCACCTACTTAACAAGTACCAGCTCTGAATTGAAACAAAAAGAACACATGGTTTAAAGAGTTCACTGTACTGCCTTGACAATTCACTTTTTTAGCTATCCTCAAAAATTCAATCCTTTCACCTGAAATGTAGCTATAAAGCACTCGCCCAGCATATGCCAAATAATGCTCCAACCTTTAGCACAAAAAGTAACTGTAGATAACAAGCTCTATTATACACGCCAAAAAGTAAAGCAAATGCTGGTAATGTAGAGAAGTATGTCCTTACAGTAGCAGATCCTTTCACAGTCCCTGCCTTTGATATTGTTTCACAAAGTCCTCAGGCTGCTCAGGTTGTACTCTACAGACCATAAAACAAATAAAATGCAGAGCGAGAAAATGTCAGGGAGTATTTTTATCATTGTGTTTTCTTCTACAGTTGACATAATCTGACCCAAAAGACTGACCAACAAACAAATCTTAGAAGCCAGGCTCCTGTGGCTCTCACCTGTAATCCAAGATACTCGGAAGAATGAGATCTGAGTATGAAGGTTGGAAGCCAGCCAGGGCAGGAAAGTCCATAAGACTTACCTTCAATTAACCACCAAAAAACAGAAGTGGAGCTGTGGCTCAAGTGATAGCATGGGCTAGCCTTGAACAAAAAGCTCAGGAACAGCATCCAGTCCCTGAGTTCAAGCCCCAGGACCAGCACCAAAAGTAACAATAATACTTGCAATACAGTTTTGATAGAGTCTTAAATTTTCTAACTGTATTTTTTCCTTTGTTTTTCTTTATTTTGGGGGTTGAACCTAGGACACTGCCACTGAGCTACATCCCAACCCTAGAGTCTTAAGTTTGAAGTGTTGCTTATGTAACTATTTTTTGTTTTTTTTTTTTTCCCCACAGAAAATGGATATTCCAGCTAAACTGATTGTTTGTGGAATGACATCAAATGGTTTTACTATTGCAGACCCAGATGACAGAGGCATGTTGGATATGTGTGGCTTTGACACTGGCGCTCTAGATGTAATTAGAAATTTCACATTAGATGTGATTTAACTGTAAGCACCAGTTGTGGCCTAAGAGGTCGTCCACTGCCCTCCTTGACTCCTACAAACACTGGCTACTTCCCTGCTAATATCAGTGCACTGACGGTGGTTCAGTATGTGCAGAATGGGAACTTATTTCACCCAAATGAAGGGAAACAAGGAAGAGACGAAAAAGGAAAGGAGGAAGGAACAAAATAAGAGGTGCCCAAGATTATGTACTAAGCACTTGGGAAGTAGGTTCAAGATACTGTAGCTTCCTCTATATACTAGAGAACTTCTGTTGTTAATAGACACTGTCAAATAGTCAAACATTTGTACTTACGAGGTGAGATCCAAAAGTATGGGCAGTTCCACATCACCTGTTTGAGAACTGCTTATTGTTTTCTTAAACATTTTCATTGGAAAAACACAGCTTTGATAATGTCCAATATCTCTGCAGTACACTAGACCATGTAACTGTGAGGGGAGATCAGACTCCTTCAGACTTACACCACAGGGTCCAAAAAAAGTAAAACATTTGATTAAATTATGAATGAGGTTTACAAATTCAGAGCTTTCTAAGATCACATAAAGAACAGTTTATTCAGTGAAAAGATACTTTATTGTTTGTGTTTTATTTACTTGTAGAATTGGTTGATAATTAGGCAAAATATAATGGAACCCCTAAGAAGAGACTCTGTGTGGGCAGTGAATAGTCTTTGGGTGATGAATACATTTCATTGTATTTTATTGCTAGGTGCAAACACCTGAAGAGATTTCTTCTTAGCCACAACTTAGCTCTTTACTCACAGGGTTTTGTCCTATTGGTAGATGAAAATAACTTCAAATATTTCACAAATTTAAGTCACCTATTCATAATCTTGAAAGCATAAAGATTCAAATTTCAGTTATAATCAGATTAGGACTTTTCTTATTAAAATAACAATAATTTTCTAATTGTAAAAATGTCAGTGGCCTCTTATGCTTTTTGATAGCATAAAGGAAAAGTCTAGGTTCTAGAAAGGCAATTTTATAAGTAGGAATTTTTTTTGTTAAATTTTATTATAGTTACATTCTTAGTAAGTATTCTGTCTTCATTGGAAGGTTTAAGATGCTATCTTTTAATTTTGTAATAATAGCTGAGATATCTTACATGTGCATTGTTCTTTTAATATTAATTGAAGGTTTGGGGGGAGAGGATAGTAAAGTAAAACCCTTCTCGTTGTTACATGAAAAGTCAGACGGTAGTATAAATTAAAGCCCTATGTGGGTCTGGGGATTAGAAGTTTTTTATATATGGGGAAAAGGTTTTGATAGTGTGAGGATTTATGTACATATTTTCTTTTTGTTTCATGAGAAATGTAGGCTATAAGCATAATGAGAAAATGTTCTTTTCAGATATATTTGACATATTAATGCTAGTTTTGACATGTAAGCATGCCTCAAGGCCATGGTAGCAGTTATTTACCTAGAGCATTGTGGTTGGCAAAGCTAGCAGTACCTTCCATGTCAAATCTGTATTGCTTGTGTGATTATTCTCATTTTAACCCTTTGTCAAGCATGAAGTTAACGTTTTAGATACTTTGACACATAAAAATAGTATGTTCAAATTGAATCAAGTTAAAAAACCTAAGTATTTTATGAGCTTAGGAATTCTTTGAACCCAGGATCTTCTGAAATTTAACTTTTTTTAACTCCTGATAGAGATGGTAAATATAATGGGAAAGCTTATTTCCATCAGTTACACACTATTTACTTTTAGGCAGTATAATATGTTTAGAAGCCAGGATTGAATCTTACCAGAAAAGTAAGATTAGAGGTACCTCTTTGAAGTATTTGGATTGATCTAATTGAATGGTTCAGGGTAAGATTTAAGAAAGGACAAGTAAACGAAGCCACTACCACAGGTAATTTTTATTTTCAAGTCATGGAACTACAGTCTTGGAAGTAAACCTGAGAAACTTTAAATCTTTTTTGACCTTTTTAGAGAGCCAGAGTCCATGACAGTATGCATCACTTAGAAATCTTGGCCTTTCACTCCCATTCCATTCCATCCAGTGTTCTTTTTTCCTACATGGGAGCACGTGTCTCAGAACTGTAGAACTTCTATTTACATACTAGGAAATGATGTGAAATATGACTGCTATAGGAGTAGGGCACCAGATAGTGAATGTGTATAATTTTATAATTTTTAGTAATCCTTAAACACAACTAATGGTCTATTAAGTCAGTGTTGCTATATAACATAGTCCTACAGGAAAAAAACAAAAACAAAGTTTTTACCTCATTATAAAGAGAATGTACTAAAGTGATAAATAAGTTTCGTTTTCTGGACTGTTTTTAGAGTTACTGTTGGATTATTATTTGGAGAACTGTTCCTTTTAAAAACAAGCCTGAGAAAAATAAACATTACTACTTAGATAATGTAAATATTTTAAAATTTAATTAGTAAACAAAAACCTAATCCTGTAATCTTACCCTTTTTATTAACTGAACTTCCTTAGAAACTTTGTTTATTACAACTTACATTAGTTAGCATAGAAGCTTCTTTATGAGGATATTACATACAGTTTGCGAGGGCAGAGAATTTAGTGGCACCTGCTGGAGGCCTCACGCTGTAATACCCTGTGTGATTGTAGACAACCAGTTCAACCAGGAAGTCAAAGCTTGCTCTCTTCCAAAAACAACATACGGAGGATTGGGTCATGGAAGAGTCAGTGATTTAAGTTTATAAAACACTGAAAGAGGGCTTAAATTCAAGTTAAAATACTTTTTACTTAGTAATAGTTTAAAAAAATGTTTTAGAAAAATAGGCCTGTTCAGAAAGGAAAATGTTTTCAGTTAAGATACTAAGATGTCACCCTTCTCTCTATAAAACTCCAAATAAAGATGACCTTGAGTAGAGTGAGAAAAACTCACTTTAAAGCAACACTACTAAGAAAAAGCTTCATGTTTTAAACTAACATCTACAAATGGAATAATGCCATTTGTCAGGATTTTTTTCTCATTTTCTAGGTTTTGGGGGGAAAAAAAGACCATCTAGATTCTCTCTATATATGTATATATACACACATATACATACATACATGTGTGTGTGTGTGTGTACATATATAGCAGAATTTCTGAGTAAATTTCAGAATATAACAACTAGATGAAAAATACCCTTAAAAGCACAGTAAATCTGCATCTTTATTTCTAAGTAAATAAAAGCTAAACCATTGTTATCTCTTGTTGCATTTATTTTCATTTGGCCTAAAGATAACAGCATAAATGTGCTAAGTTCTGCTTAGTAAAGGTATACAAAAATGAAAACTACAGTCTTGAATCATAGAAGTTTAGGGTAACCTCAGCAATGTCATAGAGCCTCAATCCAAACATGAGCAAGGAAAAATCAGGAAAAAGCATTATGTGATGCTGTGGGGTTATATGGTATTCATCGGATTAGTCTAGTGTTTCCCTGGTGTCTGCACTAATCTCTTATTTCATGGACAATTCTTTGATGCTCTTTTTTTTAATCCCTTCTCCTTGTCCTTTTTGTAATCTAGTCTACGTGGGTAATAAAGTGATTGACAGGAAAGTTGTCCAGAGTTAGGTTTGAAATAGTGTCTTAACAGATTTTAGGTTTGGACTCAGGGCCTGGACACTGTCGCTGTGCTTTTTTGCTGAAGGCTACCACTCTACCACTTGAACCACAGCTTTACTTTTAGCTGTTTTGGTAATTAATTGAAGCCTGGAGGCTCTTAAGCTTTCCTGCTTTGGCTGGCTTTGAACTGTGATCCTTGGATCTCAGCCTCCTGAGTAGCTAGGATTACGGCCGTGAGTCTTTGGCATCTGCTTTAGATTGCTTTTTTTTCTTTTCTTTTTTTTTTTTGTCTCATTCAGAGTTAAGATCACTTTTTTCTGAATTGAAAATGGGTAGGTCTCTCGCAATAATAACTGGATTGGTATACTCTCTTCCCAAATCGAGTTAGACTGCATAGTCCAAACCTTTCAAGGTTGCTTGGTAACTCAGTCATCCAGCCTTTGTTAGCAGTTACAGATATATTTACCCACATGGGGCTCTAGAAAGGTACTTTTTTTTTTTTGGTCCTGAACTCTGGGCCTGGGCACTGTCCCTCAGCTCTTCAGCTCAAGGCTAGCGCTCTACCACTTGAGCCACAGTGCCACTTCCGGCTTTTTTCTTTTTGCTTACATGGTGCTGAGGATGAGGAATCGAACCCAGGGCCTAATGCATGCAAGGCAAGCACTCTACCACTGAGCCACCCTGCCAGCCCTAGAAAGGTAACTTTTCTAAGTGAGCATTCCTGGAAGAGTGGCCAAGCATGCTCTGAAACAGCAGTCTCCAGGCTTCTGTTATCGTCATTGTAAATACTATTATCAGAATCTTTGGTTTTTTAGTCTTTCCTGAGTTTACATGCACACAGAGTATACAGTGTGAGAAAACTTGTAAATAACTTGTATCGACACTCAACATCTTTATAATTAGTAAATTTCTTACTCTCTCTTGAAAAATTCTTATGAAATTAACTACAAAGGTAATTCTTGATAATATTTTCTACCTAGAATACTAATGATGTAGCCTGAGCATACTAGAATGACAAATTTTCCTAAACCCTGAATATAGCAACATTTATGGGAAAATAATAGAAAATAGGTTGCAAAATCTTACTACTGGATTTAAGGTGACTAATGAGAACAGAGCTGTTTCTGACCCCAAGGAGTTTTTTACTCCTTTGCTTCTAATTTAGGCATGCATATATTACCTTTATGAATGAGTAAAATTCCATTTTTAATTTTAAAATGTTTAAACAGACTATGGCTCACACCTTCGAGTCCTAGCTACTCAAGAGACTAAGGGGCTGGGAATGTGGCTCAGTGGTAAAGTGCTTGGCTAACATGCATAAAGAAGCCTTGGGTTCTCTTCCTCAGTACCAACATACACAGAAAAAAGCTGGAAATAATGCTGTGGTTCAAGTGGTAGAGTGATACTAGCCTTGAGCTGAGGAGCTCAGAGACAGTGCCCCGGCCCAGAGTTCAACCCCTACAACCAACTAAAAAAAAAAAAAAAATGAGATTTGAGGATCACAGTTCAAAGCCAGCCCCAGGCAAGAAAGTAATTAATCTTCAATTAACTAAGTGGAAGTAGAGCTGTGGCTGAAGTGGTAGAACACTAACCTTAAGCAGAAGTTCAGGGATAGCACCAAGGCTCTATGTTTAAGCCCCAAGACTGGCACCCAAAAAAAAAAAAGTTTAAACATTTTAGGAGAATCTATACTTAAGCAAGGGAGATAATAGATGGTTTGGAGTGGTGACTGAGGCTAAACACTCACTGTTTTAGACAATCACCACCATAAATAATTGGTAGAATCTACTATCAGTACAACTGGATTGATACTTATGTTAGATGGCTTACTAGGCTGTTTGCAGTGTAAAGTTCTGATACTGAAGCCAAATTTAAACACCTAATGGATAGAAATGAGAAAGTGGGTTTTTTTGCACTCTTAACCTAAATACCAACTATATTTGGTATTGTGACTAGACTTCCTTTGTAATGTATTGGAGTTACGTTGTCTTCCTTGCATTGCCAGTTTCTAATAACAAACTCTTCA